AGGGGCATCGGGAGGGGCTGCACGTATATGAGATGGGATGGCAGGTGGCCTTGTTCTCGTGACACAGTTAATTCTGTCATCATTACTGTGCCAGCTTTTGTTAGATGGGAGTAAATTATATCCAGGGGTATGCAGAGCACATCTATTTCTGGATTTGGTTAGCTCTGGACGTCGCTTTATATAGCAATTGTGCGATGTACCTTGGTAGATCTTACCAGTTTCTACCGTGTCCTTTATTTTCCGGTAATTCTAGAATATCAACCTATTGGGATGCTTCTGAGTAAACATACATTATGGTCGCTGTTAATTTTCTACATGAAACTTTGTCTGTAGACGAGGTTATGGAACCAGAATACCATATGAGGTGTACCAACTCGTGCGAAACATTTTACCTTGTTCTAAGCCTACCCAACCACCTGAACTATTTCCCAACGAATGCAGTAACCGTAAGCAGGTAAATAACATAAATAATAATGCGGGCTGTTTTCCGTACAGTGCTATTCGCCAGTATGAATGAGGCGCCCTGAACCGAATTTGCGCTTTCGATAGTCAATTTGTAGATGTGATGAGATAACGTATTTTGCGGTCGTGTACATATGCAAAACGCTTCTTTAAATCCATCGGAAACCGTTAATATACGTTTGTCGTTAAAATACTCAGGTTTCGGGAACGATTTGTGTTGCAATATACGACTAGATTCTAGCTCTAACAAAATATTACTTACTCCATTGTGATTAATAAAATAACGTATACACTAGACTGTGTTAGTGTAACTTAGGCCAGCAGTATGAGATTTGCCACTATTGCTGCTGTTTGTCGCTTATGCTGAAATGTGATATGGTTAAAATATACCTGTACATTTCGTTCTCTTCATATTTCACTGGCAGCCTACATATGCTGCAAGCAGCAACCGACATTTAAACCTCCAGCATAAAACCATTGTACTAGTAACGCGCATTTATTCATAGTTGATGCAAGCTTTTGCTTCAGTGTAGATCATCACCAGTATCGTCTGCATCTCGATGTTCCCCCTTTAGCCTCAGTGAAAGGTAGCAGCTTGGGCTTTTGGGATATTAAATCGATGATAGTTTAATATTGGAACCCGTGGTCGCATAGCTGCATTTACTCCTGACAATAAACGAATTACGTTCGCAATTAGCAACAAGGTGTTTGAGTGCCTCACGCACCTCACATTCCACCCTATCACGAGATCTTTAGTGTAGACTAGAAACAAATCATTATACCTCTTTTACTTAGATTTAAATGCCCCTCCATTCCTTTACTCTTCGTACTACCAAATACAAATCTCTATTCGCAGGACTATCACATCATCTGCGCTACCACATCATTTGAAACCATACAGCACCCAGAGCAGCGGTTACACTTTTAATACACGTAAACTAGACGGGGAAGCACCTCAGTTACTCTGACGCAATACATAAAAGCAGAAAAGAGAAAAAATGTAACAGATACAAGCCAGCTGAGCTACCGGTAAGAGATAAGCATTGTTCCGGTAAGCTACCAACCGGCTACTTTGCAGTAAAACATTTAGTGCAAAATTATGTAATGTTAATGTTGTAACGCTGGGCGGCCTTCTCGCTCTCGCCTGGTTGATTCACGCCGGTTGCTAAATCTGCGCCTTCACGCGTGCTCTGATTTACGCCTTGGCAAACCCGACCGGAACGAAGACAGAAGACTACTCAGCAGACCAGAGTTGTATTAAGGCAAAGAACGGTCATATTTATATGTCACTATCACCAGGCGGATTTGGCTTTAAGCCCACGCTGCACACCTACTTGTCCGCTGCATCTGTCCGATTCACCGTGTTGCTCGGGTACTACAGTCTTCGTTCGCCTACCCGGCGCATGGCAACGCACGTGATGTCTGACGCGTGATTTCATCAGCTTCCGGTCTGGCCTTGGCAACACGCCTTGTGTCTGATCAGATTTCGGCTGGGCCCTGGTAACACGCTCGTAGAGTCCTTCCCAAGCACGCTTGGTGGTAAACGCGCGAGCGTCGGCTCTCAGCTTTCTCGTCCAACTGTCAGTTAATTAGTGAGATCATGGTTAGAGGGGGATGGGGTGGGAAAAAGAAACTCTCAGCACGAACACCACTGAGGTCGGCTCCTAGCCATGTCAGCAAGTGTATCCAACCCAACGTGTTCATCGTCTTTCGGACCCCAACCAGGGAGCCGAGAAGCTCCAACCGAGGCCAGCTTCAAAGTGAGGGCCTGCATTCCTCTCAATCAAGTCATCGCTTGGCCACCTCTCCTTTTCTTCCATCCACACCCCGGGCGCGCAAACAGCGCACCTCGCTGGACTTGGTGGGTTGGTTTGCCCAACACGCGGCCGAGCCAAGAGTGGGTAAAATAACGGTCCTAAGTGGTTCGCTTCTTCTTCCTATGCCAAAAGCAAGGCGTCGTGCACGCTCGTTGCTCACGTGGTTTTCCCACCAGATGTAAGCCAAATTACGAAGGTGCCGTTGGTCGAACGTACCTCTGCATTGCACACTCTACCCTTCAAGTCGTGAGTGACGTCGCGCCACCGGCATAAGTGGCGAAGCTTAGAAAGGCGCCTCAAACTTTTACTATACGGTTGGTGATCTCATCTTCAATCCCACGGGCGCTGATTCAACTTCCTAAGTAGTTGATTTTTTTGGACGACTTCTAGCTGATCCCCACCAAGGATCAGCACAGGAGGCGGTCCAGGCCAATCTTGGAGGAACGCTTTGCGATTCGTGGGTGCGAGGCAAATCCGGAAGTGACGAACAGCCAGTGTTAAGCTGTCCAGTGCAGCTTCGCACGTTTGTGAGCTGTCACAGATTAGGGCAATATGGTCAGCATACCCCAAGTCAAGAAGTCGTTCTCCTGGGAGAAGATCCACACGTTCTAAGTCGTGTCCTGTGAACACGATTTCCATGGCATCGTCAATAGCGAAGTTGAAAAGTGACAGCGAGTATCCTTGTCTCACACCGCTGGATATATTGAAGTGTGACGACAGCTGGCCGTAAGCCCTCATCCTGTCCAAGGTCCGCGCGTATAATGCTCGGATAATATTTACATATTTCTCTGGTACACCTTTCACCATTTCACATGAAAACTAATGTTCTGCGAATAGTCTACTTTTGCCACCATTCCACTTTGATACGCTGTAGGTCACCCCACCAATTCTAGTTAGACGATTGATAGGTTTTGAACAACCTTCATAGAGATCTGTTGATATCGCACTTGGTTTGTGAAGAGCCAATAACAAAATACAACGCATTATATCGTTCTTCCATAGGTTGACACTAAGAGAGGATGGGGAATACAAAACTATGTTCAAAAATATTCCCCATCTACATCTATCTGCACACTGAATAATGTATCGTAGCAGCAGTTAGACATTTAAATGTGTACAACCATCGGAATATAATCAACACTGTCATAAAACTATCAGTCTCCTGTTGATACTTTAAGAGTGCTCCAATTTCTTATGTAGGGCTTAATAAGGTCTGTCTTACGACATCCTTGATATTAAAAGGTAAGACATCATTACTAATAGGCAATTGTTCTTTGAATCGAATGGCGATGAAATGTACATCCCGAAACAGTTTGAACTGCTTCACAGATTTGGCCTCCACGATTTCCTCTGGCAGACTGTGCCAAGCATTTACCATTCTCCGTTCGAAGCACAGGGATTGGACAGCTGACGTTATATCTGGCACTACATGCTTGTACCAGTGTCAGTGTGGCTGCATGGCGTTCGCGAGTGAAGCAGCGGCCACAACATGGGGAGGTTACCGAGATCTAATATTCGGTAGGTCACGATGAGATGGACTGGCAGCCGACAACAGGACAAGGTGTATAGCCCTAGCTTCTCACCATGATCTTCATACTACAATCCTCCTAAATCCAGACTTTAGTAAGGAAGTTACACTTGTGTTATCCATCGAACTGTAACTTCGCGGGGGTAAAAGCCTTAATGCACCATGTTGTCCTAGTTTTAATTATACACTCAAAATAGCATCTCGGACACTGGAAGAAACTTGCAGAAAGTTAGTGTTCTTCCAAACAGTGATGGGAAAGCAACCGGTCTTCAGCTACTAATACATCTGCAGACCATTAACAACATTGAAGAAACTATTGGTAAGGTTCAAACAGACATTGTAGTAAGTCAGGTTTACGTAAAACTGATAAAAATGGCTTCCTTAGCAAACCCCTGCAGATATAAGTAGTACCAACTACATTGGCGTCGCTCTTTCAAGTTAGATACCATTGTGCACGATCGCTGGGGTTATTGTTAATGTTTATGATACTGGTGCTCGCACAAATCGTAGCCACAGGCTCAGTTTGCTTTGTTGCACTGGCATCAGACCAAATACATATTTCAAGCACTTTCCACTAGCTTGTTTAAATGTAGTTGTGTTTCATTTTAAATGAAGTCGTTTTTAAAGGTTCAGTGCTTATTTCTGAATTTATAATGCACTTCTGCATTAAATTAGTAGTTGCTGGTATAAAATGCCGATAAATAACGCAGTTATTTACTACTTTACCGTGCCCTCTTTTAAGGTTGCTTGTAAGCATGGTCTCTAGACCTCGATTTTAGTGTTAAAATAGACCGAGTTTGAGAACAAACGTTAGCATGTGTTGCTGAGAATGAGTCGCAGTGGTAGAAAATATCCACTTGCTTCTGCCGGTCATCGCTATATTGGATTATATAACCAGTCTGACTGATTCTACCAAAAGAGTATGGACAAAGACATAACGGAGAGCGAAATGCAAGTTCGAGAGCAAAGGACACTTGATATGGGTGAGCATTTTTAGTGTTTAGTTCATAAATCCTCCTAAATACTAGACAACTTGTGTTACGTTAGCGTTAATTAGTGAATATTTAATGGTAACATATAATTCATTCATGTATATGCAACACATTGCTACTGTATAGTCTACTATGAAATGCAATTGGTTGAATAGCATTTTGACCGTACCTCCTTCCTTTTTACACGTCTATCACATCTAGAATTGTTCCAGTCCGATGTCAATCAAATCGAGGACAAGGGGAAATCGTACCTTCATTCACTCAGCGCTTGTATTCACTGTATCTGTGTGAACCAGGACTGGAAGTCTTAAATGAAGGTATTCACGCCTGCGACTTCAAAAGGCTCTACTATTTTTTGAATCAGTATGATGTTCCAGTTGAGCTTTATGCTCTACCTGAGTTTTATCTTCGACAAACTACACTCTTCATTCTCCCAATTAGTGCAACCCGGTTTATGTGATACGCGCTGTCATTGTCCTCCTGGGGAAGCTGTGGTCGACTGTAACCGACAGGACAGATTACAAGGCGTACCCACTAATATACCCCTCGGTGTGCTCAAATTGTACATACAGGATGGTGATTTCCCGTCGCCAAGCTACCTCACCCGCGCAAATATGACAGGTCTGGAGCAAATTGAATATCTGAGTATAATCTACTGCAACTTGCAGGCCATTGATAGTAAAACGTTTCTGGGAATGACCAGACTCAAGCAGCTAGATTTGTCACGCAATGCAATTCGTCGACTGGATATGTACACGTTTTTTGGTCTGCAACTGGTCAATCTATACTTACAGGAACAGCACAATCTGACCGAGTCTGGGCTCTACATTGCTTCCGACGCCTTTGACGGATTGACTGCTGAGCAAATCAATTTGCGTGGTAACCAACTAACATCTCTTCGATTTAGTATATTTTCCAGAGTGAACAATTTGCACCGACTAATCCTATCGGATAATCGCATCACGCAACTGGACGAAGAGTTTTCCAAACATTTCAACGGACAGTCTTATCTGTTAGATCTAACTGGAAATCCCTTAGAGTGTAACTGTCGTCTTGCTTGGATAGCAGCTTGGAGTGCTGACTGGGCCAAAAGCTTACCCGGGTTAAACATGACGTGTGTTTATATTCCCAACCTACCCGGTCCTGACGAAAAACGTAAGCAAGTCGTATTAGAATTACATCGACTCACAGCAGAGCATCTCTGCCCAAGATCACGTATTCAGCACATTGAAGTGAGCATTTCTGACTTAGCAAGAAGGGCAATTCTAGAATGCACGGCAATAGCCGCTCCGCGTATAGCGTATCCAAAGAATACCATTTCAGGAAGTTTATTTACTTCAGATTTACTTAACCGGGCTCCTCCAGAGGTTGCATGGCAATATGTAGAAGGAGGCCACTTACGAGAAGTCAGACGTCTTCCAATTGAAAATGTTTTGTTCACAGGTTCCTCTGTAAAAGACAATAATTCAGGTCTGAATAATGCATCATCCACCGTACGGCTGAATATATCCATAAGCGATGATCCTCGCCAGTATAAATGCATCACCCGTAACGAGCTGATGGATCCAGAAGAGGTGGTCATAACACTCAGAGGTCCATCAAAAATCGCTTTGCTGAATAATGCGGGGAAAATATCTGAAGACTTCGTGCATACAAAGTACGCTAAAAGTGTTGATCGTATTGGCATAAAGAGTGAGCTTCAACAAACGGATTTAGATTTGACTGAACCGCACTATCTGCTTCACCCTCAATTCTCCCTTATGCAAATGGCTTTGGCAGTTGTAGGTACATTTTTAATAACCGCTATTTTATTGTTATTCGGAGCACGATGCTTCACTCGTTGCCATTCACCGAACCTACTCCGTTTATCATCCGTTGCCAGTTCCATAGACACTTCAGATGCCAAGGTTGTGTATCAATCAGGCACTGTAACGCATGTTGGGGGGAAAACTGTGGACAAGGCATATAATCCAACAAAGCAGAATGGATCACAGACCATACCGAAATGCAGCAGCCAGGTGGCGATGCATCACACCCGAAACACTCACAACTGGCCTCAAGTTTTACTGTCTAGAATTGATGGTCCAGTTCCCATGTCACCACAGTTTACTCACTTGGCCAACTTACCAAACCCATATTTTCAGTGTGCGATGCTAACAAACACACAGCCCTCCTCCAACTCAGAAGCAGACGATCTACACACAAGCCTGGCGCATCTAGTTTCCACACCACTTCTTCCTACTAGTAGTACTCTCCGAGCTAATTTAACCCCAGAAGGCGCTCTTTCTCCTTATCCGCAAAAAAACCGCGCTGGTCAACAAACTCAAGTAACGTACTGGCCTTCAGTGACTTCCGGTTCTCCTTATTCCGTGGCTGGAAGCCACGAGTACGATATTCCAAGAATATTAGAAATGCCTCCATACTCAATGGTCATTTCATCCAGCACGCCCAAACATTTCGAAGCGTCAAATCAAACAGATATGTGCAATTCTATAAGTCATCTGAGCTAACTTGTAGAAACTGTCCATGCTTCAGGTCTTTCAACACGCCATCCCCTATCATTTGACAAATCGAATCACTTGCCATGTTTCACAAGAAACAGAATTGTAAACACCAAATGCTCATCAAAGAGTTCATTTTGTGATATCAGTTATGATGCTTCGAAACAGTTGCTGTTGTTTCTTCATGGGGTACTTTCCACGAAACGGTGTCTCAATGTTTCAATGAGGATATGACGCAATTTATATTGACACTCCAGGATGACTCTGAGTATAAAGATGTTTGCTACAATTGTAACCAAGCTGGTTCTTGTAACCGAGTTACCTCATACTTGGTAGCCCAATCGCGAGTCGCTGGTTTTAGTTGCAAGTCATCGAATTCATCAGTGTGGTACTGTATGATCGAAAACACCTATGGTGTTTCCTTTGAGGTCAGTGTTCACTTTTTCCAGCTTATCATTCAGGTTCCGTTTCGAACCGTCCAATTATAAGTAGTTAACTGGTTTTATGAAAGCTCACTTCTGAAATAAATACCTACTTAATTAATGGATTTTGTGAAGCATATGCATCAAGTCTCATCAACAAACGGTCCATATCCTAGCCCTCCTCCAACTGAGTATAGTGCTTTACTGCGGCAATCTATGAAGAATGGCACTAGGTAAATAAAAGCTCAATGCATTAGTCGAAATCTCGCTAGTACATTGGCAGTGACGTGTCTTGTGAAACTAATTAATCACACGGCCTTGTGACACACAGGAACAAAACCAGCAATTGCTAGTACTGTGAAAGGGAGCACCTTCAATTTATAGCTAAAGGAATACACAACTCAAGAAGAAAACAGGAAAATACTTTGATACCTCGCGTGTTTGGTACTCTAGCTCCCAGCTCATTGTTCGGCCAATTTTAGTTGTTATTTTGCCTAGTTACGTGGCTTAGTTTAACCGACGTTAAATCTTTACGGTTATTTGCCGTGTATAGTAGTAATCTGTAATCACTTCTGTTCACCAATAGCCTTATCTCCAATCCATTTTGCCATCTTTGGCTGGCGGCAAATTTTTATTTAGTGAGCTTGGACTAACCACTCTATACTGCTTACACCCTGTGGCAGACTGATACTTAAAATACTTATGTTCAGTTTTTATGTTGTCTACATATGGATGGATGGTTGATAGCATCGAAGACAGATATAATAATCCGTAGCAAAGGTTTATTGTACCATGTATATTACGGATTCAAAACGTGTCTCCCCGGAACATAAAGGGCATTTGCAACTTTTTGGATGTGAAGTGGTTGCATGGGATTCCAGTGCTTTAACATCCTTCCCAACTTGACCCCGTGAGACAACGAGTTAAGTCTTGATAGGCAGTTTGTCGAAACTACTTTTTGAATTACTTCCGTTCTTTCACGAACCTTGACTTACAACTGAATATTGTGTTTATTGAAACTGGGCAACTACTGCTGAGCTCATAAAAGGAGAGACCGACAGTCAGCGTTTGTCTCATATATTGGTAATTGGCCGGAATGAGCGGTAATGAATAACTAGGCTTTAAAGTGGTCACGCAATATAATGGACTATACTAAGCGATGTTTCCGCTTATCATTTTCCTCATAAGCTTTCCTAAAGTTATCGGCGTTTCGGTAGTCGTGTATTAACAAAACGGACAGCACATGAATGGTTAGGGGTGAGTAAACAACATGTTAGTATTTGAGTATATGCACTAATACGAAAGGCTCCTAGTAAGCAGTGTGCTCAAAATCTACTGGCATAAGCAACGCGCGTCTATCTGGTTGGTACGTACGAAAACCGATTATTTCCCACTTTTCGTCGGAGTGTCTCACAGGTGCGTGGTGCTATAAGCAAACAGAAATGGTTACGATTGACAATCAAGAGGACTTCGTAGGCTTTGCATGCAGTTTCCTCGTAGTAACACGCTACACAAACTGGATTACGCCGATGTACCCCATGGAGCTTGAGTTACAATAGGCAGCATATTTTACTTTGCGCACCTGTAGTTAAATGCATACATCATGAGTAACATCAGATATGGGTCAAAGTGACGTCAGTTAATACACACTACATGTCACAGTTTATCTGGTTCTGTCTCATGCATCAAATATGTATGAGCTTGTGCTTAATAGCGCTATTAAGTGTGGTTATAGAATGAAGGTAAGTAATTGTTAAGAAGAATACGGTCACAGTTAGCTTAGGAATAATTGTGCGGTGGACTTGAAACCGTAAGAGCCTAAGCTCCTAAAGCAACGCAAACTACTAGCTGAAAACTCCGCAGTCAGATACGGCGTATATTCAATTTACAAACTGTTACTTCGAACATATCCGTTTGACCCATTGCGTGCAGAAGTAGAGTGGTAGTTCCATGTAAGCCAGAGTGAATGCGTACTGCTCGTGAGTTTGAAGACTATTGGATTTCCAGCAATTTATGCAATGTATACACGTGATTTGGGGTGAAAACCGAGGACAAGTACAACAAAATTGGGGCATTAAAATTGCTATCGACTTCAGTGCATGTACTGGTAAGATGGTGATCGGTGAAATGGACAACGCACAAAATCAGGGTAGTTTGGAACTGAAATACCCAAATGTTTGGACATGTTCGTTTGTCTAGTGTGTGGATCATTCGATGCATTAGCGTCAGTCCGTCATTCAGCAGTACAATGAACAATGAGTTTATACGGATGAAGAAGAGTTGCTTTACAAGTCCCGTTGGATAGTTAGTAGGGATATCGAAATAACAATAACGATAATAATGAGAGTAAAACAGTTAGTATTTAAGCAACAAGTAAGCGATTATCGTTTGCTCCGTCGTAGTACTGCGATCAGATTAAACTCAGAGCACCCACAGTTAACGCCAAATAATTCCATGGTAAACTCCAGATGTAAGATGGAGATGTAGTGCTAAATGACAAAGTGTAAGTGGATGAGTGCATCATACAACCGTCTTTTAAATACTGTTAGTATCGCTGCAGAGACGACCGATTCTGGGAGAGCATTCCACAGGTGACTGACACGAATTGAAAAGAAGTTTCTGCAGCACTCTGGACGGCTATACTGTTCTGCGCGTTTCCATGAGTGGCCCCTCAGTTTTGTATTGGTGCTAAGTCAAAGCAAAGGGCAGCACACACGAAGTGGGTCTCGCACAATCAAGTATCTCATAATCAGGTCGCCTGGTAGTTTGCGATAGCTTCGGCTGAATACCCAATGGTTGCAGCCTCTCCTGATATGTAAAATTGCGCATTCTAATTCGGTTCTTAGATGCCGACGTTGTGGCTGCTCCACTGCATTAAGGTCGTGTTTCCACCATGTATGCCAGGCTTGAATTGCGTATTTGACATGGGGCGAACATACGCCCTGAACATGTCGAAAATGCAGCTTTTTATTCGTTCCAACACCCGTCGCAACTGCGCGACGTGTTGCTTCCCAGTCTTCGAGGCCTTTTCGGATTGCCTGGAGTAAGCCAAATCACCTTGAACCAGGACACCCAAGTCACGTACGGGAGTTGATTTTTGTAGCATATTCGTTCCGAGTAGGTATGCATAGTTGCTCTGATGTCGGATGGAAAGCACTTTGCTTTTACTGACGTTGAAATGCAGTAAGTTTTAGGTTGACCACTGATACACTGTATCTAGGACACTCTGAAGCAAATGCCGCTCGGCGTTCGCCTGGATCCTGCGCCACATCTTGATATCGTCAGCAAACATTAGAAAGTTTGAAGCGATTCCCTGTGCAAGGTTATTAATGAACACCAAAAGCAAACGTGGACCTAGAACCGAGCCTTGCAGCACTACACACTCGACTTGTATGAGGTTCGATAAAGAGCTCCGAACTCTGACCACTAATTGCCGTTGAAGTAAAAAGTTGGAAATCCAGCTTAAAAATGGGCCGCCGATCACGTAATGCTGGAGCTTGGAGAGTAGCATCTGATGGTCTAGACGATCGAAAGCCTAGGAAAAATCTGGGTAGAGCACACCAACGCCTTCTCCAGCTTCAGCTGTCTAGGTCCAACTACTGCATGCGATTAGTGAATTTGTTGTGCAAGAGAGCTGTCGACGGAAACCGTGCTACTCAGGCGTGATGATGTTACAGTTTTCCAGATGGCACACCAGTGCATCGGCAACCATGGATTCCATGACCTTGGGGAGTATAGGAACGTGGGATACTGGGCGGTAGTTGGAGGGATCAGTTCTGCTTCCACCTTTGTGAATCAGGGTTATTATTCCAAATTTCCATATGGTGGGAACTTGTTTCTGGTCTAAGCAGCGCTGGAGAAACTGAGCTAAAGGTCCCGCCAGTTGGCTTGCTGCTGCTTCCAATGCCTCTGGACGAATGGTGTCGACACCCGGCGAGCTGTGTTTGCGTAGAGACGTCAGCTTTTACAATACAGCATCCGCGGTAAAAGTGATGTGGGTTGGTCCTGGCGAGGAGACGACAAATGTTGGAAGATTGTTTGGTAGCAAGGCCCTCTGAAACGTGGGGCAAATTGCATCGCAGCGCAATTAATGCTTTCACAGCCGTTCTTGTGGGCCATCGGCCGTCCTGAGTGGAGGAAATCTTTGCCTCACCTAGTATAGGCTATTGATATGCTTATACAGCAGTTTGTGATTAGGGCTGAAGATTTTTGCGAGGTTTTGCTGCTAGGTGGTTTTGTCTTCTCTTACCAGTTGAGTGCAGTGGTTACGTTGGGCTGCGTAGTTGTCCCAAGTTTCTGGTGTTGGAGCTCCTCTTTACACTTGCCATGCTGCGTTGCTTCCTGTCCATTTTCGAGTTCTGCTCTTAACAAAAGAAACGGATGTACACTTGTTGCAAACTCTTATCTCTGAAGCCTCTGCAATCAGGTGACTGAGTTTGTTGACGAACTCGAGCCAGGCGACTTCCGGGGTTCTTCGGCGAGGAACGACCAAGTTGTAGTGTTGACAGGTTGGGCTAATCGATCGTAGCTTGTGATGGTTCGCACAGTCTCATGGTTTATCATTCCGATATTCCTCATAGCAGTTGAAATAAAAACTGATCTCTGAGTGCTCATTGCGACCCAACGAACGGTCTAAAACCAACACATCATTCATATGCTCCTCGTTGGTAAGCACACGATTCAGCACAAATGTCCTGTTATCAGCTCTAAAGCGCGTGGGCAAAGTGTTGTGATTGTAAAGTGGACACGTGGTTACGAGATCCTGTAGATCGGCTTTGAATTGCTCTCCGATTATGACAGGAGCTTATACACAACGTATGTTGAAATCCCCCGTGATAAGTATGTGAGTGTACTTTTGTTGTAAACTGCATCTTAAAGCAGCCGTACGGTGGCAGTCGGTTTCGGGTGTAGAGCTAAAGTTGTCGTACACCAAGATAACAGGGCAAGCATTCCTCCTTTTAACTGCAAGTGGCAGCAAAGAGAGTCGGGGAACTGCAAGTCTGAATGCTCCACGGCTTCGCACTGTAACTCGCAACGGTAATACAGGATTACCCCTTTTGCTTATGTGAGCCTATCGTTCCGGATCAGCAACATGCCCGATAGCGAAACTTCAGCGTCCG